TATGACAACCGCGTCATACCCACGCGTTGCTATGACAACCAATTGAAATTGCATTCATTATTAACAAAAGGGAAATAAGTTTCATAAATTGAGTCATCTTATATTACAAAATTAATTGGTTTGCATTGTCCATTAATGTATCCAATAATAGGAAAATAGGTAAAGAACCTATATTCTGAGTTAGAAACAGAATCCTATCAGAAATAAGTCGAATAAAATCTTCCATCCCTCCAATAAACAAAAAGAAATATCGGGCAGTATAAATAAGAAACGCATGTCTTACTCTTTATATACAAAATTTAATAACAATAACACCAATATATTTTTTAGAGATTACAAACATACCTTTCCAAAAACAAGAAAATAGTATTGGAATCATCAGCTGTTTTGACAAGGATAAACACGTGTGGGAGAAAACGTGTTCACAGTGTACGTATTTTTATTCTTTTCTATCATGACAGTGACCTAAATTATTGTTTCGGGAGGTGATTTTTAATTTTCAATGATTATCTTGTGTGCAGGTTAGGTGCACAGTCAGTTAAGTGTTTATTTTAGGAGTGAAATCTGTTGAGATAAGTGTAAACTGGGATTGTTTTCAAAAGGAGACACCTTGAAGTTATTTTGGCTTTAGTATATCCAAAATCTCCCTGAATCTTGATCTGGGCCTTGGTGATAAATATAAGGTAGTTTTTATTCCGTATTGGACTGTGTCACTGATGCTGCTAGTTTTTAAATGAGTCAACTGCTTGACTTATCTAATATGCATTAATACCGGCAGTTCTTTTTGGTGTGAACAAGAAAAATAAATATTTAATGGCAGGCTTGCATTTTATGTGTTTGTTTACCTGACTTGGTGGTTTTTAACCAGATTATTATTGACAAAACATAGTCCAGGTAAGAGTTCAATATCGATCATCTGGTGCTGCGACGATTTTGGTGTCAATAAGTTCTTCTCACTCTCTAGTATCCAGATATTCAGAAGTCAATGCGTGGAAACCCACCAAACCCTCACATTATTGCCCCCTGATAGCAAGGGAGGGCATGAATTGCTCGTTGAAATATGAATAATAAACACAGAATCAGTCACTATATTGTCTAATGCAAGGGGCTGAACCCCCAACAACCCTGTCAACAGGGAGCTGCTGCCCCCTAACCCCCACCTAGGATAATAGATAATCCTCCATGTTTTCACTACAGGAGAGGGAGAGACTCGGCATACCTTCATGTCGGTCATACGCTCTCTCCTGATATGAATAAGTGGTGGATTCTTTTGTGTTCCAATAGGGGGGTAGGGGGTTGGTCACAGGGAGCAATAAATAGAAAGTAGGGAAGGTTAGATTAGATCTTAAGTTTCGCATGATACCCTGGTTTTGGGACTTGGTCTCTTGAGGGTGCATCACTCCGGGTATCAGTTACCATATAGACCGATTCGGTGTGACGTCACGAGTCGGAGTTGCCATTCCACTTGGTGAAAACAAACCCGTTGCTCGCAGATACCTCGCTGTCTACGTGAAGGAAAATGGCGTATGAATTCTTTGATTCTTCAAAAACCGAAGCGAAAAGGCGATGTGAAGCAAAACTAGAAGCTGTGTAGCTAAAAGGGTAGAGGTTGAAGACCGCGACGCGCGTAGATAGAGGAAAATGGACACCGCCATCTTATAGAGCGGGAAAAATAGAAGGGGATAGCGTATAGTTTAAGATGCACAGGCCTTATAGTCACCGCTAAATGACGAAAATATAACATGCTGCCGCCTTTCAATTTCAAAGTCGATGAGCTTGTTTACCTTGCTAGGAAAACACGACACTGACCCACGAACGCAATTTTTGCGTTGCGAACTAGTCTGTGTATCATACGCGCTTGTCAAAACGATATTTGGCTAATTATCTGTGTCTGCTGGTACGCATTTATACCTTTAAAGTCTTTTAGTAATGTTATATATACTTCAATTGCATATTTTTATATTTATCTCCCCTCATATCGAATCTGCGCATCGAGTGTTTCACACTTTCTTGCGCCAGCCACAGGTTGACAGCTCACCAACCCGCTCATTTCGAGATTGAAAGCCGGTGAGAAATGTTGCGTTTCCAGTGTTGTGTTGATTCTGGGTTCTTTTTTAAGACCTTTACAGTGGCATCGAAGAAATTCGACTTCAGTAACCATCCCAGTTTTATATTTGAGCCCATCAAGAGCTTCCAAAGGACGAAAAGGGTGATTAAAATCGAAAGCAATCCCAACAGTAAAGAAACGAGTTTCGCGTTTCCGGATATAAAGTATTTGGTTAATTATTTTGGTGTGATGCAGCTCTGTCTTGCCGTACATTCCGTGGTGGAGAGAATGTGTCCTGGGGGTGTTGGGGGGCTTGCCCCCATCAACCCTCCCTCGGGCAGTGCCCGAAGGCACGCCTAGTCACGGCAATTTATATTGATATATTAGGTTGGTTGGTTTATTGGTCAATACGTTTTTGGGGGTTGGAACGTGTGAATTCCCGTAGATTTTTTTTTTTTTTTTTTTTTTTTTTTTTTTTTTTTTTGCGAAATGTGGGTTGGGTTCCCGTAGAGTTTTTGATTTATTTCGCGTCAGTCCGTAAACTTTCAAAGATGGCGGTTACATCCGTAGAGTTTCATGGCCGATTTTAAGCGCTTTTTGTTGCTAGTTTTACGCATTTTTGATTGTTATTCTTATTTAAGCTTGTTTTACCCATAATTTCCCTGATATACTTCATGCACTCCCCTGCTAACGGGACTATCAAATCAAGATCGTCGATGGAGAAATGGTACTCGATCTCCTGAACGATTCATTCTCAAAAGAAACCACGCCGAAAATCGATGAAATCATAGGATTTCATGCAGAAAAACATCATTTTTTTCGACTTAGTCTCTGCGAGGGTGCGTCGCGGTCTTCAACAATTACCGCTAAAAGAGTACTCATACCGAAATCTGGATTGACGATCCTTCAAAATGACCTAAAATTTAATATTCTGACATCTACGACTATTCTATCAATACAGCAGATGATGATAATAATTTTATAATAACATAATTTACTACAGTAATGTCTGACGTTTAGCTATATAGGGTATTTTCCTGTGAAATCAGTGCCATTTCCTAACATCACTTTTCTTCCCATTTACTAGGTGTTTATACAAAGGAGACAATGAAGTCACGTATAGGCCTAAAAGCGCACAACGCATTTTTCTCTCTCCTCAATAATTTGACCTCAAGAAATAGTCCCTCTTCAGTTGTTTCTTCTGCTGGACCATGTGACATTTCAGACACAAAGGCAACAGGCAACTGTATACCTGCATTGTTTTCATTTAATGGACAGTGCTTGGAGGCACTTGGGATTAAGTCTGGGTGAAGTGAATCCGGGAATTGTTTGCCTGTAAATATAAATTATGATAAATGAATTTATTACAAAAAAGGAATAAAATGAAAAGAATTGCTTTTGTGCTTTATAGAATAGAAAACAATATCGACAATGTTGATCTTGTTTGGCCTTAATAGGTAGTGTAGATAGACAAGAGTTAGAAAGTAATTATCTTTCTCTGGAATTTGAAAAGATGTAATATATTAATATGTAGATCAATGTTCTTAGCAGATGTAAACATTTTCCACTAGGCGTCCAAGCACTTCCATCAGCACCCATGCGTTACATGGCCTTTCCCATCATGTTGTGGTTCAAACAACCAACAACAACACAGTTCCTTGGCATTTTCACACAAAGAAATTAAATTCTCAGAAAAATTCAGCAACTTTGTAAGCAAAGCGCAGTGATTTTTCGAACGAATGAGGGTTTGTTTTCACCAAGTGCTCGTTGCTAGGGGTAGTTGCTAGACGTTACTGAATCGGTCTATAGTGACTATCTGTGTATATTATTCAGGAATTCTTTTTAAGACAAATATGTTTATTTTCTGCGGAGAAATACTATTTTCTAAGAGAAATATGTCTACTGTAGATTGTGATTTCAAATGGTGCACCCGTTGGAGACGTCCCCTACTCCAGCCAGCATTGTTTGAGGATTCTGAGGGGAATCTGGGGTTGGGGGAGTGGGGATTTTGCTTAATGCAGGCATGTTAACCCAATGTGCGTGAGCTTTTTTGGTGTCCACTCAGGCCACCAAAGCAGGGTTTATCTTTATGGGCAGGGCGAGTGCTCCAGGGTTTTCCTCTACTCATTTCAGCGACTCACTTCCCAGCTGCTCGCCGAAATTTGACGAGCATGATTGCTTTGTCATAAATTTTTAGAATTTATGTGTTTTTGCATTTTGAAATGCTTATTGTTGCCAACTGTTTTACTAGTCAATTGAATAATAATAGTCAATTGAAATGTTATTGAATACACCATATTAGTTGATCATAAAGTGTTTTTGTCCATGAATAGAAGAATCAGTATTTGTAGGGAACATTAAAAATTAAGTATCCTTCACTTTTTGTATTTCTTCAAATGAGCTTTGCCAGTGGAATACATGATTTCTTATGTAGTGAATGCCACATGCATGAAGAAATCAACATGTAACATAAACATAAGTTCATAATATGATGTTTATTTGCACTATGATGTACCTTTGTGTGGTAGATTTTGAAACATTCATAAACCCATAGCATTATCTCACACTGTTTGAAAAGGGAAAAAATCTATACCCACATCGATCAAATACCCTGAGGCTAAGTTCATTCGCACAACACACCACACACACACACACACACACACAACACACACACACACAACACACACACACACACACACACACACACACACACACACACACACACACACACACACAAACACACACACACAAAGTGAGAGAGAGAGAGAGAGTGATAGGGATAGTGAAAGAGAAAGACAAAGAGAAAGAGGGAGAGCGAAGATGAGAGGGAACAGTGAAAAAACAGTTTAAAAAATAATAATAAAATGTAGCATGTATGCGACGTCTCCCAGATTTGCGGGTTTTTGACGTGTATCCTCAATTCGTTCCCAAGTAAATGATTCCACCCGCGAACTGAGCCCAGACTGCCTTGGCATCTATTGGGTTGCCACCCACAGATTAGGCCCAGCTCTTCCATGGCACCATAGGAGATGCCATCCACGGACAAAGGGTTAAAGAGGAAAAGAAAGTAGGAAAATAAAGTCCAGAGCCATATATCTGATGTAGAAGGTGGAAAATAGATTTGGCCATGGAAGATTTGGCACTGTGTTGAGGGAACGAACAAGCAAATAAACCCAATCATAAATGCGACTTAGAAAAAATTCACTTCATACAAGAAGTTTGAATCAATATGTGAGAGCACTCATTTTTTAAATTTTCATGGTGTTGATTATATCATATAGAAGGAGAATGTATATTTTTCTTTATGATATTGTGCATGTAGATATCATCTAGTCTAACCTATTATTCATATTTTACCCTGCAATTTCCCGGGTATCTTTCATGACCTTCCCTGCTATTGATGCCAAGATTGTTGCTAATGGGAAGGGTTTCCATGCAAAAATATCTTTGTTTGGACACGAGAGAGTGAGGAGTTGAGATGAGCCATCATGGTATGTTTGTTGCAGTCCATTAAATAAGTTAAGTGGTACTATTTTGTAGAATTATCCATTATTTAAATACACCCTTTCTAATTTCCATTAAATGAGTTTGTCATTGCACAACCTAGGTATGCTTCAATTAGAAAAACCTTATTGCAAAATTTGTTTACATCTCTGTAAGAATTAAATCATAATTGCGGTTATCTGTTCCAAATAAAAGGTTAAATTCAAGTGAGAAGCAAGGATTGTAAATATTCTAGTTGGTAATACATATTGGATAAGTCTTACGCAGAGTGAGAAGTCAAGATTTGTAATTGATATTCTAGTGGTAATGATATGGTAAGTCTCAACGATGATATATTAGTGATACAAACACATGTCTAGGTCATTACACATCAAGAAGTCACATATAAACCATATTTTAAATATGCTTAGGCATTGACAGTCAAATCTCATTACAATTATCTCTTGGCTTATATTTGTTTTTGGTCATATATCATCATGTTCCATAAATGCATTCATAGGTAGTTTGTCCATATTGTAAATCACATTGAAGGGCAATGTATGTGAAAAAATTAATACAAATCATAATGTGAACATAAACATATTACTTATGGTGTTTATTACAATTTAAGTATTCTGAATTCTTCCCTTTATTTGCTTATAATTGATTAATGTACATGATAAGTGGTAGAAGCCCATCAATCTATATATTTGTATCATTACAGAAAAACAAAAGGCACAATGGAGTCAGACCAAATGAGTTTCATTACATGCGCAGCGTGGGTTCCCAAAGGAATTGCAAAAAGCAAACCAGATAAAGTAAGTTTAGTTCTTTATTATTGTTATTATTATTATTAATATTGTTGTTATTGTTACGTATATTATTATATTATTATTATTATTATATATATTATTATTATTATTATTATTATTATTTATTTTATTTTATATTATTATTATTAAATTATTATTATTATTTTTATATAATATATATAACATATATATATAATTATAATATATATATATATATATATATATATTATATATATAAATATATTATATATATATAATATGTATACTTGTATGTTGTATGTATGTATATGTATGTATGTGTATGTATGTATATGCATATATATGTATGTGTATGTATGTATATGTATGTATATGCCATATATATGTATGTGTATGTATGTATGTATGTATATATATGTATGTATATGTATATGTATATATGCATATATATGTAGTGTATATGCTATATATTATGTATGTATGTATAGCATTATATATTATATATGTATATATGTTTGTATATATATATATATGATTGTCAGTTTCTTTCTATTTTTGTTTCTATTTGTGCTCAATCTGTACTTTTATACTTGTTTGTCTGTCAGTCTTTTTTTCTTTCTTTGTTTCTTTTTCTTTTTTTCTCATTATGTGTATTTTACTATATATATATATATTTTTTTTTTTTTTTTTTCCTTTCATTCTTTTCATGTGGGTGCAATAGACAGATATACATGTATACTAGATTTTTTTGTCTTATCTGATATGACCTCCCTACAGATACAGTAGTTGTGTCAGAATATCATTTTTGTCTGATTCCATCTTTTGCTTCTTTTTTTTTTTCATTTAACTAAAGGTCATAGAAAACACTTTCATCCTGTTTCAGATTGGAGTCACTCCAGAGGAACTGGCAAGGATCATTCATGAAACAAGAGGAAACCTAAAGTGAGTTTGTGTCGATTAGTCTCGTGTCTTTAAGATAAATATTATGATTGCAATTACTGCAGTTAGACCTTTTCTTCTTCTTGTCGGTAAATTTTACCAATAGTGATGCACCCTCTAATGATTTAATCGATTCTTGGTATTGTTTCTTCTGCGAATTAGTCAGCAACGAGATTGAGCACCATTTCTCCATCAACAATCTTGATTTGATAGTCCCAATAGCAGGGGAGGGTATGAAGTATATCCGGGAAATTATTGGGTAATACAGGCTTGAATAAGAAAGAATTGAGGGTTAAAATGCATAAAACTAGCACAAAAAATGCTTAAAATTAGCCAATGAAACTCAACAAATGTGCTTGCTATCTTTGAAAATCTACAGATCAACATGCCAACATTCAAAAACCTTTACAGGAATTTAACCCACTTTTTTGTAAAATCTATGGGAATTCACACATTCCAAACCCCTCCAAAAATGTTCTAACCAATAAACCAACTTAATCTAACAATTTTAACTGCTGTGACTAGGTGTGCCAACTGCCATGGGGAGGGTGATGGTGGGCTCTGCCCCCACCAACCCAACCCCCCCCCCATTTCTCACAGGCCTGTCATGGAAGAGCTATATAGATAAATCTTAAAACATGTAATTGAAGTATAATAACATTAATAAAAGACTTTAAAACCATAACTGTGTAACAGCAGACACTGATAATTAACAAAATATAATTTTGGCAAGTTCGTAGTAACACATAAACTATTTGGGAAATCGCAGTAATGAGTTATGCAGTCAGTCTTTTGTTTTTCCTGACAAGGTAAACAAGATGATCAACTTAGACTCTGAGCCATGTTATACAAGGGATATTTTTGTCATTTTTGTGGTGAATGTTAGACCACTGCAGCATAAACCATGTTGTTTCTGATTCTATTTCTTACGCTCTATAAGATGGTAGTGTCCATTTACCTCTATATCCACACGTCACTTTAAGTAACCTATACCTTCTTGTTCTTCTTTTCTTA